TAAAAAAAGAAATTTTGCCTTGTGGATCGACTTTTTTTTTCAATAATTTATGCTTTTATTTTATTATCTGTTCTACTTTCTTTGGTCTTATTTGGTTATTTTTCTAGCTTGTTGAGAATGTTAATTTATCAAATTTCACATTTTTATCGATTTTTCTCATATTACTATTTAAGGGTGTAAATTTCTTTGAAAGCATTGTCTTTCCATATACCAGATGTTTCTTTCTGTGTATTTTTAGTATCTTTTATTTCTTTCTAAATTTCAGCATGATTTTGTCTTTACCCTTGAGTTATTTAAAAATTTCCAAGCATTTTAGAAATCAGGTCTCTGTGAAATACATTGAAGGTGTTTTTTGACTGAGTTCATAGTCAATACTTATATACATTCCATATATACTCAAGAAAATTGTGTATTCTCTAATTTTTGGATATGGAAGTATACAGTGTCCTTTGGGCCAAGCTTTTAGTTTTATTATTCAAATATTCTATGACATTATTGATTATTGTTGCCTGCTTCACTTTTCAAAAATGAGGAGAAATGTCAAAATTTCTTACTACATTGGTGGATTTATTAATTTTGCCTCATAGTACAAAACATTTTGTTTCACATATTTTGAGGTTATTTTATAAGATGAATGCATGCTTATAATTATAATGTGTTTTTGGAGAATTGAACTCTTTATTATTATATAGAGACTGTCTATCCCTAATACTTTTTCTAATTTTAAAATCTATTTTCTCTTATATTTATATAGCTACGTCAGTTTTCTATGTTATCATTTGCTGGCTATATCTTTTTCCATCCCTTAATTTTCAAACTTTGTGTGTCCTTTTACTATGTAGGTGTCCTTTGTACTGTTGTATCCAAACTATCAGTCTTTTTGCTGAGAGGTTTGACTTATTTACACTGATATATTTTCACCTGTTTCTTTCATCTTAATTTATTATTTAGGTGTGCCCATTTTTCTCCTTAGTACTTTATTACTACTTTTACATCCTCTGGTTTCCTTCTACTCCAATCAATCATACTGATATTATTTACTTTAATATTGAGTTATATCATTATATATTTCACTTTCTTACTTTGGTTACCCTCATCTTTTTTAGACTACAACCACTTACTAAGATATTTGATAATTTTTATTTCATGTTTTTGAAGCATATCCTTTAAATATCTACTTCTATTTAGGTACTTCATACTAACATTGAAAACAGTTTGGATGAAGTACCTAAATATTATGCCTCTAGAAATATTTTCATCATGATCTCATTTGTGAATGACACTTGGGCTGGATATAAAACTCATGTTTTAAGTTCTTTCAACATTTAAAAACTAATGATTCACTTTCTCCTATCATTCAATTTTGCTATTAAAAACTCTTGTATTAATCAGAGTCTTGTTCATTTGGACATAATCTTACCTTTTTCTCTTTAGTCTTTAATTTTTACCTCTTGGTCATTTTATATTCTAAAATTTCACTATTATGTGTCTGTAGGTGTAGGTTTTTCCTATCTATATTCTTTCACATCCTATAGGCCCTTTGATTTTTTTTAAATTTTTATTTATTTATGATAGGCACACAGTGAGAGAGAGAGAGAGGCAGAGACACAGGCAGAGGGAGAAGCAGGCTCCATGCACCGGGAGCCTGACGTGGGATTTGATCCCGGGTCTCCAGGATCGCGCCCTTGGCCAAATGCAGGCGCCAAACCGCTGCGCCACCCAGGGATCCCAGGCCCTTTGATTTTTATATCAAAATATAATATAATATAATAAAATGAAATAAAATAATAGACTTTAGTTAATTATCAGAAATGTATCGCTATTATTTTTTAAAGTATTTTCTCTCTTTTAATTTTATTTTTCTTTCTCTCTGGGACTCCTACTATCTGTATTATAGTTCTAATAACTATCCTCCATACTGATTAGATTTTCTTTCATATGTATTATTTCTGGGACCTTTTCTTTATCCTCCTGAAATATCACTTCAATTTGGTTTTATATTTTACTAATTCCATTATGTCTTTCTCACTGTGTTTATTATGCTACTTTTCCATTTTACATTTTTATAATACTTTTTTTCAAGTACTGTATTTTCAAACTTCTTGTTTCTGCTTATTTACTTTAGCCATCTGTATGTTTATTTGTTCTCATTTTATGTTATAAATTATTACAAACTTTTTTTAGAATGAACATTAGACTAATTTAAGAAATTTGGTTTCATGTGATCGTTCTTGGTTCTTTACATTCTTGCTTCTGATGTTATTTCTCACACTGCATGTTGTTTTACTTTTGAAATAGTCATTTTCGTCAACTGTTTTGCTATTTTCACTGGTTTGCTTGTTTTCTTCAGGAAATACTGGCTACTGTGAAGGCAGTATATATGTGGGAAGGTCAGAGCCTAGTCCACTTCAATCTCTATAATCTCAGTAGTGGAGATGTGACCAAAATCTGAGGTGGAGAATCCTAGACAACAGGAGCCACTGCCAATCACTCCACTTCAAAGTAATTTTTGAGATCAGGAGTTCAGGTTTTTTACCAGAAAGAAGTGTCATCTTGAGGAGTATGTTCTACCTTGTTGAAAATATTTTTATGATAAATTCTTTATAGAATTTCTTTAAAATTTGTGATTTTGTTAATATGGTATGTTCCCCTGTTGTCATGTCAAAGGTTTTGCCTTACTGAAAAAGAATGTGTTTCCAACCAGAGTAATAAATAGTTCTTCATAAAAAATCTAGTTTCCTACTTATCTACCAAATAAAGTTAACACATTACCTAAGTAACTTATACCTTTGAGAAAAGTAAATATAATTTTGCTTTGTAATCCTTTTCAAGGGTGTATGTAATCTTTAAATTTTAAATACCATTGTACCCATATCTTTTAACGGAGAAAAGGCACTATAGATCACAGGAAGTATAGGACATACTTTGAAATGGAAACCAATTGTCTAATGATATTCAAAAAGTGATTAGCCATTTACCTAAAATAGAGTAGTACCTACAGCATAAAATTAAAGTGGATATTAATCATTATGCTTTAGGGCATAAATTAAACAATAATCAAGGTCAGAAGAAAATGTAAGATACCCATCGTTAAGCAGGATTAGATTCATTATCAGAATTCCAGCACCATTTCTATATTAGATATGGTCTGACCAAGTAATATGGACCTAGAATAATGTTATAGTTAGGACCTATCACTTTATTGTTACAGTATATATGTAATATGGCTCGTTTTCTTCTTAAACATTTTTGCAATTTGCCACTGCTGCATTGAAATCCATCTGAATTCAAGCTCTTCAGAGAAAAGTGCCCTTTCTCTGGTACCTTCCCTCTTCCTTCCCCCTCACTCCCTATCTTTTTGTTCAGCACATCCATTATGTTTCTCAAAGGAACAACGGAAATGTACAATTTAGGTTGGTGATGCCTCAGCCTATAACCAACAAGATTTTTAAAAGAGGTCTTGGAAACTTTTTGCTTTTACAATATGACTAAATGACTCACACGTTAGGGAAATCTGCTTCTTGGATTTCTTTTCCTGATTGTATTGTTCTGATATAAGCATTCACCATCTATCCAATTTGATCAACTTCATCCTTACTTTTCAGATGAGAAATTGAAAAGGAATAATTACCCAAATTAAGTTCCCTTCCAAGATTTATGTAGTAAAAATACATTTTAAACAGAGTTTATATAAAATAAAGATGAGGATTCTTAAAAGAGTAAATAATGAAAAGAACCGATATATAGAAATATATATCAGAATAACAAATTCAATCTATGATGCCCTTGTTGTTATGCACATTTGCATATGTTAGCCTGATTTCCACTGTATTATCCAAGTTCATTTCCATCAGAAATACACAATATTTATTATATGGAGTTTAATGGATTATTATGTCAGAATTAATTTTGGTCTTAAAATGTTCGTTCTTTACATTTATTTTCAGTCTGATTATATAAGTATAAAAATCTCCTCAATTTGATTTGGAGTTTACAAAAAAAGGAAATAAGGAGTTAAGAATCTCTTTAATAATCTGGTTATAACTTTGTTTGATTATTTGTAGTGTTTCTAGTTTTAAGGATAGAAAAAAGGTACTACTTATTCAGTTTTTATTTTACTAACCAGAAATTAAATAAAGATACTTAGAATGGAAATTTTTTAAATGTTCAAATCCTACATTTTAAATATGACTTGTCCTGGAATAATGACTGTTAACTTGAATTATGAATATTATTTGAATTAAATTTTCTTGGGAAGTCAAGTCAATAAGCATATTTTAAATAATAAATTTGTACAATTTTGATTTGTGTTATAAAGAAACTTAGTTTTCTGAAAAATTATTCTCAAGAAGCATATTAAGAATTGCAGTGTTTCTATAATTAGATGTACCCTATATCCACTAAAGGCAAAAGTAGTTTCAGACTACTTTTGGTTACCAGCTGGGATATTTATAATAATCTAGAACATTAAGTGTGCGATGAGAAAAAATATGCCTTCCAGGAAGGAAAGAAAGTTTCTCACTTAATTAACAGTTGTAAAACACCTCTTGACTGTGAGTTGCTGGTAGCACTGATGGTATTAAGAGTGCTTCCAAAATGCTCAACCGTTTATACCTAATTTATGATACGCAATGAACTTTCCAGCTTTGCTAATACGTATACTGATTTTGTCCAAATGATTTTTTAAATCTTACTCATTTATAACTAGGTAATGCACAGATCAAACTTCCATAACTTTGTAAATATTAATCAGAATTTTCTTTCATGAGTGAAATAATTTCTCTTTTTACCTAAATATAAATAGCTTTTTTCAACATATCCACAAACATCCCATAATGATTTTTAAAAGTCAGTGCACACTCACTCTTGTTTAAAATTAAGATGCTGATATACAGCATCAGATTTTATTATTAATAAGATGACAAATTTAAAATATGAATGAAAAGATATCAATGTCCACAGAAAGTTTGATTCACCTTTTCTCCCTTTTCTTTCTAAAGTTATCTGGAAGTATTTTGGATGTATACAGTGGTGAGCAGGGAATTTCACCAGTTAATATGGGCCTTACAAGTGCTTCCTGTCCAAGTAGTCTGCCAATGAAAAGAGAAATTACAGGTAATGTTGCTTTTATAATTTTATCCCTTCTGAAGTCAACTACTTAACTTATGAGTGACATATATTATCAAGCTAAACAGAATCTTAAAAATATTAACAAGATAATCAGTTAAAATTGGAGAAATATAGATAGCAAATCTACCCTTTTTTTTTCTATGACAAGCAGCAAGTTAACATAACTTACAATTCAACTGAATTGATTATTTCAGGAACTAGGCAAATATACACGTACACTCTACACAAATATATGACAACTTGACTAAGTTTTTCACTTAATGTTGGATCAGTTTGATATTGAACTGATGCAATTTATTAACATGGTTGCATAATAATAGATTAATTGATCAGGGAAAAATAGTCTCTTCAGTATGTGAAGTTTGATATAAAAGAATTAGATTGTCCCCCTTTTTAGCTTGTTTTATGAATTTTGTGATACACTCACATTTACCTTTCTCAAGTAGGTAAAAGAAAAATACACTCAATTTTCAATAGTTCATTTCAAAGTTCCTACAACTCAAAGAATTTTAGGGGCACTGTCAAATTCCTCCAGTATATAGATGAAGAAATCAAAGGTCAGGGAAGTCATTTTCACGGTTGTACAGCTGATTTGAAGCAGATGTGCTTCAAAATAAGGATTTCCTGATTTATAAAGTCCAGTATTAGTTTCTCCATAAGAATAAAATAAAATTCATTTTATTTATATATTCATTTATTTATTGATATTTCTGTAACAAGTTTTCAATTTGGAGCCCAAACACTGATCTTTAATAATTTTTACAAAGTTGATATTAACATTTTAGTAAGTGTAATATGTCCATTCTTGGAGCCTAGCCAGTAACTCAAAAATGTTTATGCATACAAATAATTTAGACTAAAATGAATTAATATAGTTTTAAATAAGCAAAATTATTTTTATTACTTTTTTATTTAAATTCAATTTGCCAATGTATAGTATAACACCCAGTGCTCATCCCATCAAGTGCCCTCCTCAGTTAAATAAATAAATTTAAGTAAATGTATTCCTATATTACCTGTTTTAAAAACTAGAATCATGTAAGAAACACTGCATTAATCATTTATTACTATATAAAACTTAACAGCTAGAAATAATAAACATTTATTATCTCATATCATGTCTATGGGTCAGAAATCCAGAGATGGCTTAGAATATTGGTTGTCACTCAAGTCTTTCATAAGGTTGCAGTCAGGATGTCGTCCAGAGGTACAGACATTTGACACAAGATGGCCTAGAGGATGTGCTCCCAAAACAGTTCAGTCACAGGTATTGCAAGTAAGTCCTGCTTGTTGGCAAGAGGCTTTGGTTCTTTACCACATGAACCTCTCCATGGAGCTGATCGAACATCCTCATGACATTACAACTGGTGATCCAAGAGACCCTAAAGTGGTCTGAACATATCTTTTATGATCTAGTCTTGGAAGCCACATTAGTCATTTCCACAATATTCCATTGGTGTCACAGGTCAGCCCTGTTTAATGTGCAAAAGAACTACCAAAGGTGTGAATATCGTAAGAATCATTGCAGGCCATGTCGGAGACTATTACAAATGCTTGCAACCATGTAGCACACAGAGCAAAGTGTAATCTCTGGGAACTGTTCGATAGGAATACCTGAGAAGTGTAGCTAGTTCCAACTCCAGGGATGTAGAAATCAGCATTATTTATGAAAAATGTTGGTTGTAAAAATTAGGGTGAAATAATTTTGAATGGTCTTAAAATTCTTCAAAAAATAATGAGTGAGCAGTTTAGTATTTGCTGTGTACTGTACTGCTTTTCATCATCACAATGCTTATCAGATAGGTATTATGCCAATTTTACAGATGAGCTGAGACGCAGAGAACTTAGGTAATAGATCACATGGCTAGCAAATGGAAGGCCAGAATACAAATCCAAGTTTTACTGCTTAAACCCTAAAAGATTCGCCATTGCCTCTTTCAAAAAGAGTGCTCTGCTCCAAATTTCTAAACATTTGCATAAAAATATTATTATAGCATTTGGAGCAAGTAATATTGTATTTCCACCTAATATTTCTGAATTATGTTGACTAGAGAGGTTGTAAAATAGAACTAAGTACTATTTAAATTATCTTCCTTTCGATCAGAAACAGACACTCGAGCTTTGGCAAAAGAGAGACAAAAAAAGGACAACCACAACCTCAGTGAGTATATTTTCCTTTTTCTCTTAAAAAAAAAAAGAAAGAAAGAAAGAAAAAAGAAAAGAAAAAATTAATGTGGGAGGAAATGAATGGAGGTTAAAATATGTGGTCTTTTATTGTCACTCCATAAGTATTAGGAGGTCACATAACCAAAATGACCAAAATGAATAGTATATATTCACCAGTTGAGCTATTTTGGGACATTTAAATGATGTGAACTCTCAGAAGAGCTACATATTTTTAGGAAGTGAAACATCTCAAATTGTCTCCTTGATCATTCTGTCTCTCTTAAGCAGGCTGGGTGAGACAGGGATGAGTGCATTTAGTTACATTTGAACTCTGTTGTGACTCATTGTCTCAAAGGTTTAAAGAGATAAAAGTGGTTTTAGAAAATGTACATCACTTATAAAGCAAGAAACAATTCCGTGTTCTCATCTTTCTGTGTCAAGCTTCTCCTCCTTTCCTAACGATGAGTTACCTGAAAAGCGTTGCTTATATTGTACTGCTAAATTCTCTCTCTTCAATAAATAAATAAATAAATAAATAAATAAATAAATGTATGTATGTATGTATGTATGTATGTCTGTCTGTCTGTCTCTGATGCCTTCCTGGGGGTCACTTTGACTCTGATAATGGGTCACACGGAATGGAGAAATACCAGCAAGGGAAGTAGGCTAGCAGCAATGTTGAGCTTGATAGTGTTTGGTCCTGTCTCAAGTGAGCCTGGCTAATTAAGTGTGAAGCTTTTCTGTTTTGGAAGCCAAATCAAAAAATGAGAAAAGAATAAAATAGAATAAAAATAAATAAAAACTTGAAAGCTCTAAAACAAGCCAGAAATGTTCTTACATGGGGTTAGCTGAAATTGATTCTACATGTACCTGTGAACCCTACGTCGGTGTGCTCAATTAGCTTCTGCCTGCATCACGGATGGGTCAGAGTTTGCTGACTAGGAGACTGTGAAGGAAAAGCTGGCAAGTGGTTCTGTCCTCAGGGCAGTCATGGAGAGGGAAATGATCTGATTCTGATGGCCCTTAGCGGTAGAGCAGATGAGCTTTGGTCTAGGTTGTAAAACAAGTAGAACATGATGAGCATGTGGTGGGGGGGGGGCTGGGGGGGGGACTAGTTGTTGATCGAAGGGATTAATGCAGCAAGGAACTATGGCTTCTCTCTTAGTTTTAAACCTGCTAACTCATTATTACTCTCCTTGCTCTTGTCTCCTCTTCTCTCCATCTATAGTTTAAATAGCAGGTCACTTAGCATCAAGTATGATGAGTTCCTGTTACATCCATTGTCAAGTGTTTTCTAATCCAGACTCCCTTAGTGGGAGATGTTGCTTTTTGGAGGTATCAATGTTAAAAATACTTTAATATCCTATTTTAACTCCTACAAATCTAGGACAAACCCTAAAATTTGTGAGGATCCTGGCAAGAGGACAGAGACCCACTCTCCTGAAGCCTAAATATTTAAAAGGTGTAACTCAAGCTGGAAAGTGCTACATTATGTATTCTCTATTTCTTTCTAAGGACTGGAGGGCCAGGGGTGAATTAAAATTCTCAGATCATCGGAGCTCCGAGTGGGGGTGTGGGGGTAAGGCAAAGGCAGCCCTCAGCCAACAGCCCAGCTCACTGCTCTCCCCACTCCTTGTCTCATTCTGTGCTGCCAGTGGCCTTAGACAGGAGTATGAACACTCATCTTGTACATTTTAACTCCACACCCATCTGTGTAAATAACTTCCCCCTTCTGCACCTTGAGCCTAGAGGTGAGCACACTGGTGGCATGGTCCTCGCTCAGGAGGACAGACCCAGGAAGTGGCCTGCACAGGCTCTGGAAATGGGCTCAGGGCATTTGGGAAGATATTCCTGGTACCAGTTACTCAGAGTGGAGTTTGACTCTGTGATGGACTTGCTCAGTGGGGAAGGGTGTGGTGAGAGAAGGCAAAAATAGCTCCTCTTAAGTGTGGGTCCAGGATAGGGGCCTCTCTCACCCTCCTCTCAGGTCAGGAAGGAATGGATATATCAAAACTGTGAAGACTGAAACCACAGATGGCATAATTCGGAATTTCTTAAAACTCGACTCCTTTACAAATAACTAGTACTGGATACAAAAACATTGAGGAACCAAGGTTCTCAATATAATTAGCCATTAAAAATTTATCAAGCATAATCTAAGAAGACTAGGAATTTCTGATATTTTACATAAGGTACATTTAAATAATAGATCTTGAAGAAATATTATAGGACTAAACTAGTTCCCTATTTTGAGGTAAAACTGTGAATATCCTTCACAGCTATTCTTCATTTTATATTTAAAAGTCTGTTTTATAATATAGGAGTGTGTATGTGTGAACATAGAACTATTAGTAATTCTTACTGTGAAATACGTGTGTATTTCTCTCAGCTTTACCTTTGTTTATTTTCAGTTTTTTAATGTAGTGTCATTGTTTTTTGATAGGGAAAACAAGATTGGCAAAGAGGGAAAATAAACTCTCTCGAGAATCCATTATATTCTAATTTTAGAGTAATCCCAATATATTACTACTGAAGGTCAAATCCATTAATGGTAAATTGCTTTGTAGAGACAATTGTTATTCTTTCATAACTTTCCTTGTTTCTGGTAGCAGATCTTAATTTTTAGCATGTATAAAGTATTCTCAAATATATTTTTTTAAAGATTTTATTTATTCATAAGAGACACAGAGAGAGAGAGACACAGGCAGAGGGAGAAGCAGGCTCCATGCAGGGAGCCTGACGTGGGACTCCATCCAGGGACCCCCGGATCACGCCCTGGGCTGAAGGCGGCGCTAAACCACTGAGCCACCAGAGCTGCCCTCTCAAATATTTTTGATGTATGATTTTTTTCCTGGAAAGATTTAAAAATGTTACCTATTGAAAAAAAATACTATATAGAAGCATATATTGTAGTTCTTGATTCTAGGAATATAGAGTAGACTATAAGACTACACTATAGTCTGTAAGACTGCTTTTGCATAGGGGTTAATATGGGAAAATCTACTTATTTGTATAGCTGACATTTATTCAACATTTCTTAGATGCATAAAATTTCCAAAAGCAATGAATTTATGGAAACGCAAACAGAGAAAACAGTCTCTGCATAAGAATTTACACCAGTAGTACTCAAAATGTAGGTCCTAAATAAACTGCATCAACATGATCTGGGAATTTGTCAGAAATGCAAATCTATGGGCCCCAACCCAGATCTACTAATAGGTTTGGGATACAAATCTATTTAGCAATCCCTCCATGTATATCTGATGCATGCAAAATTTGAAAACCACTACTCTATTATTGAAAATTTTTAAATTAGAAAAATATACTTACAGTCTAATCACCATTTATTTAATACCTCTTATATGCCAAGCCCTCTGAGGATAGAAAAATGAGGAATAAGTGGCCCCTGCCTTCAAGGAGGTCACAGTTTAGGGGTCCTGGATGACTCAGTCATCCAGTTGAATGTCTGCTTTCGGCTCAGGTCATGATCTCAGGGTCCTAGGATCAAGCCCTGCATCAGGCTCCCCGCTCAGCAGGGAATCTGCTTCTCCTTCTCCCTCTATGCATGCTCTCTCTCTCACTCTCTCTTAAATAAATAAGTAAAATCTTAAAAAAAAAAAAAAGACACAGTCTCACTGGGCACACACGCCTGCCATCTGCCAAATGTTGTGTTAAGCCTTTAGGAATTATATAAGAAGAGTCAAGCATGGTGCAGAGTTCAAAAGATTATGATCCTGATGGGCAAAATGCATATGTGTGAAATGATGATCCAAGAGGAAATATATAAATACGTATATGTATTTCAGTATGAGTAAATATTACAGCGTTTCAAAACATGGAAAATTTGTTTTGAGAGGAAATGTTTTTAAAGCATTGCCAATAACAGAATCACAATTCTAACATTGTTATTTTTACTTTTAGGTTGAGATATATTTGAATTTTTATTTTTGAGTGCTCTTTTGACTATATGGAAATTTTTTTGCTCATTGTTTTTTAAAGATTATTGAGAATGTTTACAGCTGACCAAAGCTGAACTGTGCTTTAATGAGAATAATCAATAACATTTCTCTTTTAATAGTCGAAAGAAGAAGAAGGTATAATATTAATTACCGAATCAAGGAGCTTGGCACTCTTATTCCAAAGTCTAATGATCCGTGAGTTCAACAATCATTTCTATAATAATGTTATGGTTTGAATACCCCCCAACATGGGTGGGAGGGGGAAGGGAGGAGGAGAAACAATTGCTAGGAAACTGAGCAGCATATGGCAAAGGTAAGGCTATTGCTGCTCTTTATAGTTAGGTATCTACACCAGCCTCGTAGTTATTAAGAATCAAAGTTGTTACTAACATTTGTTCTTCTAAGATACAGGAAATAAGGAAATTATTTCTCTCAGTTCATAGCAGGTCTTTTTATATGGCACCGATATTGGCAAATTTAGTGGTAGTATCGAATGTTGTTTATGATACTAACTGGTATTCCCGATTTATGGCTATAGCACTTCTTTCAATGTAAGATTTATTGAATTGTTGGGTTTTCAGAGGTCCCAAAGTTCTAGACATGTAAGTAAGAGATGGAATTGTAAAAACATGCTGATTGATGCCAACCAATAATCGGTTATTGTAATTAAATTTTCATCCATGTTTTGGTGTTGTAAACTCTCAAAGTCGGTTAAACAAGATGTTTAAGGTTGTAAATTTTAGGAAATAGTTGATTGATCAAAGTATTAAGTTAGAATGTTGAATGTTTCTCCAAAACATAAAGATAAGATTTGTTGCAATAATAATGACTTGAAAAATGTTTTATTCAAACTGAAAACTGGCCTTTCCAAATACTGGTGATCATCCATTATTTAAACATAGTGATGTTTGATGGAGTGATATTAGTGAAATTTGGAAATACTCTTTCCCTGCATCCAGATGCACCAACTCACTTGGACCATTCAGTAGTTTGTAATAGAAGGGAATGTAATATTTATCCTCATGAACATTGTAGATGGCAAAAGAGCTCTGGTTGGAAAGTCTGAAGAACTTAGTCATAACATAGGCCATACTGATAACCTTCAAATCTTTTAAAGTCTCTAAGCATGCAACTCTTTCTAAAAGCAGAAGAAAACGCTCTCTTTCCTGATAGGACCCTTTTTTTAACACTTAACATATATACATGCATATTTATTCACCAAACATTTGGTGTAAGGCCAAGGCTTTTTTGTTTGACTATGTGTTTCAACTTTTCTTTCTTACATAAACTGCACTAAAATGTATAGCCTATTTTAATTTCTTTAAAATAAAACAAAAACCGGCACAACCTCAGTATAAATGGACTTTTAAAATGTTTACACAACCTAAGTATAAATGGATCCTTATTTGTGACAGTAAATTTTTTAGCAACCAACCTTCACTGACATTTTAATTGAGTCTTTCCAAAACTTATAATCTTTGTAAAAACAGTAACTATTTTTTATAAATGCTTTCTTTTTTGACATTCATATTTCACTAGCTAATGTACCAATTATTTAATTATATTATCATTGTGGTAAGTAATATGGGCATTAATTTAACCTCTTAAGAGGTACTGTGGCACCACAGTGACAACAGAAATACCTAAATGTGTCAGAGGGTAGCCCATTGCTCTCTATCACCTGTTTTGTCTTGACAGCAGTCAGGGAGCATCACAAAGGGAATGGAGAACACTAATTAATCTTGTAAGTGACTGGATAAAGGTCAGTTAAGAGAGGTCCTCTTGTAACTGGTGGAGCTAACCCACAGTGCCAGCGTGCGGTCATATGCAGAAAGTAGATGAGACTTTAAGATTGGACTCTGAAAAAAAAAAAAGATTGGGCTCTAAGACCTATCTTCAGATGTCACTCTGCCTAGACATCACCAACTATATGGTTGAGTTTTTGTAAATATAAATCCAAATACTATATCTGAGAATACTGTACAAATTATAAAGCTTAGGTGAGGGATTATTATTCTACATTTTTTTTGGAAACTTTGGTTATAAAAAGGCTCCCGTTTACTTCTAACTCACTGTCCGGAACAAAGAATGGCAAACTTGTCCTGTAAGGGACTGGAGAGTAAATATTTCAAGCTTTGTGGACCACACATAGTCTATGGCAATCTTCTAACTTTGTTATTGTAGCATGAAGGCAGACGTAGGCAATATGTATTTGAATGACCATGGCTGTGTCCACTGAAACATTATTGACAAAAATAGACTGTAGACTGTTGTCTGTCTACCCTTGATCTAGAATACAGAAAATCAGTTTATCATAGAATCACATCCGAAAGAGACTATCATCGGGAAAAGTTTATCATAAGCATTCTTAAGTGTTTTTCTCTTCTTTATGGATGTCAGAAAGAGGTATTATTATTTGTTTTAATTGTAATATGTTAAATGTATGGAAATGCAATTTATTTGGGGTCTATTGAAAACACATTAATTCATTAGATATTGATGAAGTCTACATGTGGCTCTGTGCACATAACACAGACCAGAAGAGGCACCTCACTGCTGGCTGTGGCATTCCACCCATCCAGTACATCAATATCCTTGGGCTTGCTGTGGCCTCACCTCTTACCCTAGTGCTTCTCTTTAGGGCCCACCAGTGTGATTCCCATGGTTGAATTCGGAACACAGCTGCTTTAAAACTTAGATCCATGGAAGGCGGGGGGCACCTGGGTGGTTCATCGGTTGAGCATCTGACTCTTGATTTTGGCTCAATAGATTGGTTAAGAAGAAACCTTGTATATAAAAATGGTTTTAAAACAGAGTGAACTTTTAAAAACAGTGCAAATGATGTCAGGTAGAAATTGTCGGAAGACCCATCGTGTGGTCTCTACCACCATTTTGAAGGTTTACTTAATAAACAGTGCCTTAAGACCAGAGGTTATCCTGTCTGCATTATTTCTTCTGTCCTTCAAGTTTTTCTTCCCATGAGAAGAAATGAAACAAAATCAGGGCCGAAAGGTTCCTACTGCTGCTTGGAGTTTTAATTCAGGAGTTCAATACCTTTTTGTGTTACAGATATCTTCTTAGTTCAATGACAAAAGTAGGCTCTTTTCCCTTAGACTTCCTATCATCTGGGAAGTCCCTGTGAGTGGAATGAGACCAGCCACTATGATGGCCCTAGAGGAACTGACAAAGCATTTGCACACTGTAGAGAGACTCTAGTAATGGGTTGATGCCTTTCAGGAGAAGATGGCTTAGTCAAGCCCTCGTAAGCATTTGTATCTTCCTTTAATTTGTTACAGCTAATGGGACTATCATCTAATTTGAACGCCCAGGGAGGCACATGGAAGTCAGATTTTTTCATAAACTATATTTTCTGCTCTGCTCACTTCTGCTCACTTAATAAACAGACTAATTCCAATATATCTCGCATAGATCACATAAACCAAAAGTACATAAAGTGTAAAATCCTTTCAAAATTGTCCTACATGCTGAGGTGCCTGGGTGCCTCAGTCGGTTAAGCGGCAGACTCTTGATTTCTGGTCAAGTCATGATATCAAAGTCCTGGGATTGAGCCCCAGTGTTGGGCTCCCTGCTTAGCTTGGAGTCAGCTTAAGGATTGCTTGCTCCCTCTCTCTAAAATAAATAAATAAATCTTTAAAAGAATTTTGCCTTCATGCTTACTGTTTGCTGTATTAAAAAAAAAAATCTCATCCCTCTAAGCTGAAAATTCATCAAGGTCTTCCGCAACTCTGATTAACTTTTAGCAATTAGTTTGGCCACATTCTCCACACGTATTATTAATTCTCATATAAGATTAAATTTATTGATGTATTTTTCCAGATGTTAAAATCAGTAGCCTGTTTCATAATTCCAGATTTATCATTTCTCCTGACTTAAGACTAAGTTTTATTAAAGTATTTTTTCTACGCTCTAACCTGAGAGGTTATCTGATGATGTTTAACTGTATTTACTTATCTTAAACTTCTTTAAAGATAGGCACCCAGCTTTTATTTTTTATTATTTTTTTTAATAAATTTATTTTTTGTTGGTGTTCAATTTGCCAACATATAGAATAACACCCAGTGCTCATCCCATCAAGAGGCACCCAGCTTTAAAACAAGTATTGCTGTCGTTTGTGCAGAAGAATTTGCCTAATGATTCTAGAAAGTTTTGCTCTATTGCTTAAAGTGACGTTGCTGAACTCTGATTTGTTTCACAATCACTCAGGATCACCATTCAGAAGGGACCCTTTTTTTTTTTCTTAGAAGCATAAAAGCAACTTTATTAGAAAGTAGGTTAAAAGACTGGTACATTTGAAATGATCTTAAAAAATTTAGGCTTAAGTCCTCAGTAATGTACATTTCCTAGTTCATTAATGCAGAAATACCGCACATAGATTTTAATCTCAGAGTTAATAATAAAAGCAATTTTCACTAAAAATATAAAAACTGTAATGGTAGAATCATGATATTGCATTTAGCTCTCCCACAAAAAGTCACTTTATTACTTTCTTTTGACACTTATTTTCATTCTGGGATTAATTTTACTATATAAGGGCTTCTTAACTATTCTATTAAAATTTCTATTCAGAAGCAATAATATCTAAGAGTGAATAATAGTCATGTAAATCATTATTTCATATTAATGTAAAAGATTTTGTAAGTTCTTATGAATTCTGCTGACGTGCACAATTGTGAAAAGGTTATCTCTCCGTTCTGTAGTGATATGCGCTGGAACAAAGGAACCATTCTGAAAGCATCAGTGGAGTACATCAAGTGGCTACAGAAAGAACAACAGAGAGCTCGAGAATTAGAACACAGACAGAAGAAATTAGAGCAGGCTAACAGGCGGCTCCTACTCCGGATTCAGGTTTTTATAAAAATGTTGCCATGAACCACGTAGCTTATGTATGACTTACCCATCATCAGCTTTATTCATTGTCTCATCTGGGTTTTTTTTTTCTTATTAACAATTATTATTTTTCCTTCTGATGGATCATTTTATTGTCTTTCGGAAGCTCACGAATTGGGTTGTTTCAATTAGATTTTGATTAGAAGCCCAGGATCACAGCAGCTTTGAAAATGTAATTGAATGGTAACAACCAGTTGCAAAATGCAGAAAATAGAACCAATTTTATAAACATACAATGTCATGCCACGCAAAAAATAGTAATAAGTAAAACATTGGTTTCTCTATACAATATTGGGCACTAAATTCTTCCCTCTTCCTTTGATTTCTTTAGTAACATTGCTATGGATTTCGTTGCCTTGAGGCATATTGTGCGGGTGTATATTAAGTCACTCTTCATCTGTTCTTGTGACACAAAATATCAAAATATGGGTTTTCATAACTCTCAAGATTTTTTTTTTATGTGAGCATGCTTATTGCCAGGTAAAGCACTATCCTGTTCCATGAAATGGTCCTACGGTGAGAAATTAATCAGAAAGAATAAGTGAAATATTCTCCACTATCTCCAAATGGCTGAATTGTAATCTGAGCCACTATGGAACCATTATATGTTATGTATTCCTTTAGACAGCAACGAGAAGAGGATTCTTTTTTTTTAATCTGGGTAGTTTCCTCAGGGTTATTTTTCAGGCATTAGACATAGACTAGATTCCATCACTTGCAAAGAATATTATAATAGGTATTACTCTTCATTTTGAGTGCTCGTTAATATTCTGCTTCTATTTCTGCTTTATTTTCTAGAGTTAAGTCTACTCGCAAAGTCATTATTTAATCATTCTTATTTGAAATTGCAGGAACTAGAGATACAGGCTCGCGCTCACGGTCTGCCAGCCCTGGCTTCACTTGGCACAGTTGATTTGGGTGCTCATGTCACCAAACAACAGACCCACCTTGAGCAGAATTCAGTAGACTATTGCCAACAACTGACTTTGTCTCAGGGGACCAGCCCCGAGCTCTGTGATCAAGCCATGGCCTTCTCTGATCCTTTGTCACACTTCACAGATTTATCATTTAGTGCCGCTTTGAAAGAGGAACACAGATTGAATGACATGCTCCTGGATGACACAGTATCTCCATTTGGAACAGATCCTCTGCTATCTGCTACTTCCCCTGCAGTTTCCAAAGAAAGCAGTAGGAGAAGTAGTTTTAGCTCGGATGATGGTGATGAGTTATAAAAAAAAAAAAAGAAAAAGAAAAAAAGAAAAAGAAAACAACAAACAGGTTCGATTCATCAACTGGGAAGCAAGTCTACACAGGTGCTATGCAATTACGTTCTGTTCCACATATTGCTTTGGCTTACTCTTTCCAAAAGGAATCTACTGCCCGCGGAAAACTGTTTTGAAATGACAGAAGAATTCACAGGAAGAAGAAAGATGGTGTTGAAGAATTATTGAGAACTAAAATGGATTTTTTCCTCTTTGACTAAGACGTCCAAACCTACTTAAATTGTGTTTTCCTGGAAAGAGGTACAACATAAGAAATAGCTCTCTACGAATGCTTTAAAAGTAGCAATGTGCTGGTGCACCATGGAACCTAACAGACTGCAAGGAGCAAACCTACTGAAGTATACAACCCCCCATTTTTTTTTTTTTTTTTTTTTTTTTTTACTTATTCACTTCCAACTCATTTCTGTTCAAGCCTTAGGGTAGTTTTCAAGCATCAAGACCAACAGATCTGATAGCCCACTGACTTTCTCCACTGTCTGGTAGACATATTTAAAGTTCAAAGTCTATAGGAGAGATAGTTAAATGATCTATTATCTTTCAGTTCTTTTTTTTTTAATTTTTTATTTTATTTATTTTTTGATAGTCACAGAGAGAGAGAGAGAGAGGCAGAGACACAGGCAGAGGGAGAAGCAGGCTCCATGCACGGGGAGCCTGACGTGGGATTCGATCCCAGGTCTCCAGGATCGCGCCCTGGGCCAAAGGCAGGCGCCAAACCGCTGCGCCACCCAGGGATCCCTATCTTTCAGTTCTAATTAAAAAGAGAATCTACAGTAAACATTAGAATTTTCCACAATACAATTCCAAAAATTATTAAAAACTTTGCTTTCTGAAATCAGACCCTAACCCTTTTTGTCGATTCAATTACACTAATTTCAAGAGTGTCTTTGCATATTTATGGAGACATGCTGTGTTCAGAAACGGAACACACCAAGTACTTTCCTCAAGAATACGAGCTAAAATTTTACTCCTTTACACAAACATACACTTATACCTAGGCACACAGTGTAGATAGTATATGTCTTTTTTATTTTCCTTCACTTTCAGATTTTTCTAGTAAACATCAGAAATCGTATTCCAAATCTTCTTTTCTTCATCAAAAAGAGATATTGGATAATCCACTTCAATAAATAAAATACAAAAAAAATCCTATTAGGACAATTTCTCAGCTATCTAAAATTTATCTCTGTCTCTAAAAATGGATGTAAATTAATTAGGTGATACAGTTTTGCTCCAAATTGACAAAATATGGAAACTTGTTGCCAACTGACAAAATCATTAGCAAAACAGAAACTTTTTCCTATTATATTGAGCTCCATTCCCCTAAGTACTTAGAGTACCCTATGACCTTTGCTAGCTTTGTTAGCATTTATTAAAAATATTTATAACTGTAATGCTTTACTCAAAATTTTCTCTCTTGAGTTTAGGATTGGGAATTAACTCACCAAGCATGTTGCTCTGTGCTAAACCCCCATGAGTGATCATCTGATCACTGAGTATTTATGGAGGGATACTCAAACTGCAATGGATCCTGTGAAAATGTAGAACACACACACACACACACAAAAGAAAGAAAATGTAGAACAGATGAGCAAGATATGGTTTTACTCCTCAGGTAGTAACAAGACTACATGAGAAAAACAACAAAAGATAGAAGATGCATAGAATTAAACTCTATATGGATAAATACAGAAGGTCAGAGAAAATGAAAATGAATGAAGAAAGCTGGAGAATCACAAAAGTCTATGGAAAAATAGAATGCAACCTCTTTTAAAAGCATAACTTTAGGGAAAAGGAGGGCATATTAGGGAATAATATTGATCAAATGATGAGAATGAGAATAGATTGATAAAGTGTCTTCATGGAACATTCACTAAAGATGCCAGCTTGGAAGTCCTGGAAAATAATATTGGCAACAGGTTGTGCTTGAATATTAGGATGAAATTATATGGCATAAATTGGATTTTTTTTTACTAGGAGGGAGAAACCTAAAAATTAAAATGCTACTGCACATTACTGAAGTAATTCAGAGGTAATCTTTCTTGAATATTAACTTTGGGATAAATTTTTGAAAGGGTGCTTTAGGTATTACTCATAGGGAAATATGCCATCACAAAATTTGAGACATAATGCTAATGAAAGTGGGAAAATATTAAATTCTTACGGTCTAGTAATTATCTCAGGCTTAGCTTACAGCATTAGCTTAGAGTTGGGAGAATTAAAATAATTTTTATTGTTTGACATGGAAAAAAATAATTCCAAATTTATAGGAATATTCATTAAAGCCAGATAGATAGATTCATCTGAAGTATGCCATATGAAAAAGAGCAATAAGATACACTTCAAGAATTTTCAATAGAACATTATATACTTTTAACTTTGTGATAAAATTCCACTTTATTATCTGGGTTGATAGTTCAATATAACAATACAAATCATAGAGAAGGAATATATTTTTGAGTCCATGCAAAACACATTCTAGATAGGGGCTAATTTCTGTTTTCATTTTATCATTATTCTCATTTCTTCAGATTTTGAGAAGACTTACACTGATGATGTCATTACTCTGTCATTCTTCTTCCATTCTGTTAAAATACTACTACTCAGCCCTGAAGCTCATTCCTCATAATCTTAGCTAACTTAAGGGCTTGACGCAGGTGATAGAGTCTGGACAAAAGAGATCTGGGAAGGATACTACTAATATTTGCTGCTACTTTCGGATTATAATGGCTATCAGGGGACTGTAAAATGGGCAATGGATTTTTAAGGACAGAGTAGAGTGGTGCTGTGTCACAGTCAACTGAAACAGATTAAAAACTTAATTTTAGTCAGTAGTTCTTAACTTTTTAAGGCATTGAGAACCTAGTAAAAGTTTTAGACTCGCCAGAAAAATACAGACTTGTATAAATGGTCCAAAATTTGCATGAACCAAGAAGTTTTAGGGACCTCCTCAATGCCTTGTTAGATGCCAGGTGAAGAATCCCTGAATCAGGTCTGTTACTTTATTGGAAAACACTGTAGCTATGTATCTATCAAGAGCTAGTGGATAGTTAATGTCATATATAGTGGTGGAGGAAGGAGCCCTATTTATCTGTATATCACTTTCTCAACCCTAAAAGTGATGAGGTTGCCTAGGAAAGTGAATGTGTACCAAACACTAGACTATTCACAAAATAAATTGTTTACTTATAAAGTAGTCCCCCTTCAAACATCCTCTGTTGTTTAAATACCTCCTGTACATGTTATGTCCTCATGTTATATGTTCATGGGTCAGTTTCTCTATGATTATTGGATATTGTAAATATCTGGCAATGACAGTTTAAAATAATGCATATAAATATCAAGGTAAAGCTACGTAAATTCAAAAGCAAGTTATTTGGGTCTCTAAGAACCAAAAGGGATCCTTGGAAAAACTGATGGATGTCTAGAATATTTTTGTAGAATTGAGACTTGTAACAGCCAAAGAGGTATATTATTTATTAAACAATTTTGTCACAAAAAGCATCAGCCGTCACTGGACAATTAATACACAATTAACCAAGCTTTGTTCATTCAACAGATTAATGCAAAATTTCAATTATAATAAACTTTGTTTAAAATACGATAAAAGTTTTATTTAAATTACTCTTAGTTATCTTTTCAAGATAATGTCCCATCCAATCTTTTATCTCTATTTATTATAAAATATTGACTGTCTTTTCATAGATGCACATCTAGCAGTCTTTCCAATTCCAAACTATCTTGAAATAACAAGTACCTCCACTGAGTACCTCTTCATAATTTTTTTTTCTTTTTAATGTCCTTTCCCATAACTGGAAAATTTATGTATGGAACAAATTTCCTCAGTTTACAGACAGGGTATCGGTGGCTATCGCCTTCTTTATATGGGTAAAAAGCTCTAAATAATAAATATCCAGATGAGCTGGAGACATTGAGAAATAGCCTTCCTCCTTTTTTTTAACTCATTTTTTTTCCACTCACATGACTGTAAATAAAATATTTAATAGCTCTTACTTTAAAAAAATTAGGTACGAGTTTCTTGATTTGGCATGCTCATTTACCTTTATGTCAGGGGAGAAGTTAGATTTCCCAACGTTAAAAAGAATGTATTTTTTCTTTGTTTTGATAGATCGAGTCATATTGGAATTTTCTTATACTTCAAGGTATCATGAAAATGCTTTTTTGCTGTTCTGATACTGTGGAATTTTGATGTTTAAATAAATAAATGTCATAACTATAAGTGTTTCAATGTTTTTACAATATCTCGAGGCTGATATTTACTGCTCTCATAATATCTAAGATGTAGATGAATACTGGAATCAATTAATCATTTTGCTGTGTTATCAGCACTAGATCAACCATCTGGGTTTCTTGAAAACACCTGAAGGATTGAATTTTACTTCAGTATTGATAATGGCACGGCCTATTTACGCTACATGGAATGACATCATTTGCCCTTCCAATGCCCTGTGTGTTGATAAGTATAAGATGTCAACTTGAGTTAGTGTAAGTTACATATACAGAGGTTTTATTAAATGTACTTAACAAATACTAAACACATTTAGAGTGTTGCTGATCTGATGTGTCAAATAACCTCCTATAATCATTATTCATTGTGTACACAAACATCATTTGTAAGATATTTAATTTGTAAATAAGGAACCTATTCAAAAACTGATAAAAATAGCTTTCTTACAATTTTTCTGTGTTACTTTTCTTTCTGTGACATTCATAGAGGATTTGGGTGTATAGGAGATTATTGAAAAATAGTACTTTTGATTAAAAAAAATCTCTCACTGGATTCAACTAATTTAATGATGAAATACTACTCTCTGCTGCTGTATACATTAAAAGGAATGTTTTGTCTTTTTCCTGTGAAGTAATGTATGTATTTTTTTCTACATATCCAAATTATTTCTCTTAACCCTCAGTAAAATCTTTTTCCTACATTTATTCAACAGGCTTCGAGGATAAAGTTAAGATATTTTGTGTTTGCAATGCCACCTCTCCCATCCCTGCACTACCATCTTATATAAAAAATTCTTTGTTTTCAACTTTGCTTTTTCCACAGAGATAAATTTCATCTCTGTGTTATTTAAAGCTGGTGATCATATTTAACAAACAAATGAGAAAATACGCAAAAGAAATGGTAGACTATTATTTTGCTGAAAGAATTATATACGATCAGGATACTAAAATTTAAAAGCTAGCTAAAGTCAAGGACCTTATCTAACAGCATTGCAGTTGCGTATGGCATACAAGGCTAAAATTAATTCAGCTATTTAATCTTAATAATAACAATGTAGTTAAAAATCTTTGACTTTAATAGTGCTTTACATATGTGAATAGCTAAAGTAACATTCCTATAACTTTCATCTAACACTGCTTAGATCAAGAAAACATTGCTAGTCTAATAAGACCATAGACTTTGTAATTATTGCTATTTTTCATTTTTAATAACAAAGTAATGTGTCTTATTTTCTAGGAAAATGAAGAAAACTGGTGTGTACTCTAATACATACTAATACATACGTAAATCTTTGTGCACATGCTTTAAAAATTGTACCAGTATTTTCTTTGTATACATTAAATGAAAGCACAGACTTATTAAATTCTTTAATATACCTTTTATTTTGCCTTTGTAGACTGCACTGGAAAATAAAAAATGTGAGTTAATCATCTGAAAGGATACTTAACAGCCCCAAGACTTCACAACTGACAACTGCTCACTGCACAGTCCATGCTGAAAAGAGTGAACCCATATTTCTCTATTAATGAAAATAATTGTTACATTCTTTATTACAGTCTCCCACCATCTGCTTTTCCATGCTGTTACGGTTTTGACTTATGGAAAATATTTATCAAACTGTTGCAAATTTGCTAACAGGCATAATTGTAGCAGTGCAATCACTAAGAAACGCTGCAAAATCTTTTAATATACTAGATGGTCCCCAGATAATCTAGGATAAATAGAATACTGTATTTTAATATGTAAAACATTTTAAAGCTGCTAATTGGTATTGACTAGAGCTATCCCTTGGTAATGAAATTAATAAGGATTTCAGTTAAATGTTAAGACACTCTAATATTTAATACCATGTTTATGAATTTTCTTCTATATACCTGCTTCAAAAATAATCAAACAGGATAGACCTGAGTTGACTCTAGAAAACAATATTTTATATTCAAATATAGTTTCATTCCTTTTTTAAGGCTATACCATATGAGTATTCTTTTAAAGCATTAATCAATGCCAACAAATTCTGATCAATATAATTATTTCTGTGTGGAAAGAAATAATCAATGTAATATAGGTTAAAAAAAGTCAGGATGACTTTTTTGGCCCTATGCATCTGAAAATATGGATGACAGAATGGATTTTTTACCCGACTGTTTATCCTGTATATATGGACATGTGTGACGTGTTTAGGTATGGATACAAGTATGCCCATGGGGGTGCTTACAAAAAAATTTTCTAATGTCTTGATGTCAGGACGGACTCTATTATAAGAATATGTTATTCTTAAGTTATTAGTTACTGGAATCCACACATAGGCAACATTTGGAATTGTCCCCAAATCTGTTCTATTAGAAACACACACACACACACACACACACACACACACACACACACACACACATCTTGCTCTGAATTGAGTCAAAGGTGGGAAAGATGAAGACAGCTGTAACAGGTTTTACTATTTTTGTTAAAATAAGTGGCATATGATCTATCGACCCTTGAGGTATAAGCATTGAGTTTATTGACCACCAACATTATCGCCTGCAGTGTTCGAGCTGCAGAGTGGCTAAGTGGTAAAATACAATAAGGCTTATTGGCTAAGTATGGATACCCATCATGTAAAATATATATCAGTTTCATTAATTGGCAACCATAAGACAAGAGTACAACATTCTAGATGGTGATGATTTTGATAGGACCGACCAACATTGCGGTTAAGTATATGATTCACGTAATAAGAAAAAGGTGCCTGCAGGCTATTGTTCCTAGCATGGATTAAAATTTACATATTGCTTCTCCTTATGTCAAAACATCTGGTGCCTGCAAATGCTAACATTTCGTTAAAAAGTTTCAGAAGCCAGGAAAAGTGGATTGGAAACATTGCATGTGAATCATTCAAGCATTATAATAGAATAAGAGCTATGTTCGGAAAAAAAATTAAAATGCTGCAAACAATATCATAGTCAAGATTGTAATTTATTTGCTTACGCAAGTGAAAGGTGATGCTGTGTATCTGTGGAGAAAAATAATGTTTAAGTTATGTGGTTATCCCTTCAAAAATACTTATTTCACATTATTACATGGAGCGAGTAAGTTTCTAAGTCCTCCAAGATTTTACAATGACTCTCAACGATTCTAGAAGCAGTATATAGTTCTCGAAAAGCCATTGTGATACACCTAAGAATGGGACGAGGAGGATATCTGAGACTTTATTCATCCTGGAATTAAATTTTTATTTATTCGGTGGTAAATATAAAAGGATACTTGGAGTGTAGATGAATCACCTTTCCTGCAGAGGTCCCCAAATCAATAAAGACAGACATCCTTGCACCTTTCATCATAGTCCAGCCTTGTGTTCTATAGTCTAACATGGCCTCATCAAGATTTTCCCACTTTGAAAGCTTTCTTCATCACCTCACTCCACAGTTAGCATTATTATCATGGTCCCTGCCGGCCATACCAGCTGGCTGCTACTTAAAATCTTTGGATTGCTGTTTATCATAGCGGAGCATAGACTACCTTCCTCGTCCAAATGGACAGGCATCGCAAGCAAGAATTATGCCTTAGCTTTCTCCGTATCCCTCATTACTTAACACAGTGTCTTGCTTGACATGTTATTCCCTTAATAAATCAATAAGCGATGGTTAATTTTAGGTAAGGAAAGTGTGCAAGTGTCGAATGATTCAGGTAATGAAACAGTCCTCACTCAAGGCTGTGATGATTCACTAGAATGAACCTCTTCCAGGGTCTCTTTCAATTCTTGCAATTGCAGTGAGAGAAGTGTTTGTCTTTCTTTTGGCTCCCCTAAAATATGAGTTCGGGATATGAAAATAATATCAAATGTTGCAACAACGGATTTAGAGAAATCTACTCTAGAATTCATCCATTTATTCATTCACTGTCCCTTTAATAAGCATCCCTCAAGGAATAATGGTTGTTGCTGAGGGGAATATATAAGATGAAAGTAACCGAGATCTTTCAATAAAGGGTAGTAAAGGTTATGCTGACAGAATTAAGGATGCTATGGAAGCACGAGTCAGGGCATCTGTGCCAGTACTAGGGAAACTGAGACCTAGGGGCAGAGGAGGGGCCGAGCCTGGGGCAAGATGGGGAGGTCAGGGAGGGGGAAGTGATCCTTAAGCAGAGGCAACCAGTCAGATTACTCCTGCTGATTCAGAGGGCTCATCAATGCTTTCAGTACATAGAATATAACTGTTTGGGGTCAGAAATTTTAGACTTACTTAGAGTAATGAATCTTCATTCTTCTTATTTATCACACAGGATCCAGGTTATTCGGGTACTTGGTCAGAGGACCTTTATGTCATTTCTCATAGGCCCAGAGTCAGAAAGTATATATTAGCTATTTCAGGGTGTGTGTGTGCACGCTCACACGTGGGAAGGGCAGGAGGAACTACACTGATATGATGAACTGAGGTATACAGGCGTTCTCAAATAGCTTTTTTCCCCAAAGATTTACTTATTTATTTGAGGAAGAGAATGAGCATAAGTGGGGGAGGGGCCGAGGGGATGGAAAAGGAGGAGAGAAGCAGATCCCCGCTGAACAGGGAGCCCCACACCGGACTCAGTCTCACCGCCCTGACATCCTGACCTGAGCCAAAATCAAGAGTCAGTCCCTCAGACAAACCATAAGAGACGCTTAATCATAGGAAACACATGGAGGGTCCCCGGAGGGGTGGGGGGCAGTGGGATGGGGCAACGGGGTGACGGGCATTAGGGAGGGCCCGTGATGTAATGAGCACTGGGTGTGATGTAAGACTGATGAGTCACTGACCTCTACCTCTGAATCCAATAATACATTATGTGTTACTTAATTGAATTTAAGTTAAAAAAAAAAAATTCCTTCAACCAACTGAGCCACCCAGGTGTCCCTATTCCCAAATAACTTTGCCACGACTCACTTCTCCACCCAAGACGAGTGATGAGCTTGTTCTTTTTTCTTATTAGTGTTAAGCATACAGTGAACCCTATGCCTCCAGTACTATTCCACCTTCAAGTACCTCTCCCACACTGGGAATGCCCAGCAATATTCAATAACCACTTTGTCCCTTTTCATGAATAATCCTATATCTATTATTTAAGAGCCCTAGTGTGAAGAGAAGACTGCCTAAGTAGAAAGGCATACTATGTCCTTGGATGGGAAAACTCAATACAATTCCATGGGATCCCACCCAAACCTGCCCTGTCACATGTCTGTGGGTCCAAAAAAACAAAGTCTCCTTTCATGTTTTAGCCAGGTTGGGTGGGAATTTCTGTTCCTGGCAAATGAAAACCTGCGAATAGACACACCAGAACCAGGACAACAAGGCCTAATCCCTGGCTGCACTGGGCCCTGTGTCCCCTGCAGGGCATTAGAGCAGGACTCCCGTGTGCTGATGTGGAGGCCGCGGGCAGGGAGGCCAGGGCCCTGGCCCAGCCCCTTGTAGCACCTGCTGCAAGGCCCTGGGACCCTGCTCAGGGTCTGGGGCCCAGCCTGAGGTCGTGGGTCTAGGCCTTGGAGACACAGCCTTTCCCTTTTCAAACAGAGGGGGACTCAATCACAAGCCTTTTTTTTAAATTATTATTTTTATTATTTATTTATTTGTGTGTGTGTGCATCACCCATAATGTATAGCCTCTCTCACTGGTACAAAAATTAACACCGTTTGCAAAGTCTCTTTACATTTCACAGAAATGCAAGTAATTCTGAACGCAAACTGGACAGGTCACCGTGAAAATGGGGCTTCTCCCTATCACCCACTCAGCCCTTTATCAGATGCTTCTGGCTTTCCTGCCAGGTGTCCGAGATGTTACAGCTGTCGGGGGTTGGCAGAGATTAGGTTTCCCGAGTTCCCATCCCTGAGGAACTCATTGCTGGAGAAGAGGGCCCAGCGTGCCCAGGATTAAACACAGAACCACGCAGGATGCCCCGGGATGCAGGCCCCAGGTCAGGACAGACAGGAGGACGGGATCCTGGGAGAAACCGCCTCTGCCCTGAGTGTGCGGTGAGTGTTGCTCTTCCAAGTGAATGCAAGCACATTTCTTGAATTTTTAAATTGTTTCTCTTGCTTTTTAAAGTAAATTAACATTATTCTCTAAGGTACTAAGCCGAAAAGTCCAGACAGTATAAAGTAATATAAACAGCATGATATATAATAAAGATAAACTACACAATCCTATATAAGAGTCGGAACTTCTAAAATAACATACAAGCATGATCGGTTCGTCCAAACATATAAAATAAAATGTAAGTATTTATACCATTCATACTCCCACATTGCAGAGAAAGAT